GACTCGCAAAAGAAACAGAGAATGGGGACTTATAAATGTGGGGAACCTTTCGACTCGCGACATTTATCTCGAGTCGCGATTCTATGTGTCGCGAGTCGTGACACCTTTCGCGTGTCGCGAAAGTAACGGTGACAAAAGGCCAGTTCGAGGGTAGACTCACGACTAGCCTCGCGAGTCGCGACAACTTTTCTTTTTTTTTTTTTTTTTTTTTTCTTAAAAAAAACTAGAATAAAAATAAAACATATAATGAAAACGCCTAATTACCTGCATAATTACCCAATAGAAAAGCAAAGAAATAGAACAAAATGCAAAAAGAAAAAGGAAAAGATACAATCGTACTGAGCACAGTGACTAGACTAGTCACTGTGAGTTCGATGGTGCAGACGGAGGGTGGAGATAGTTAGGCCCCGAGTAGCGACGGGAGTCTGACACATTATATCTTTCGCCCCAAAGGGACCAGGGCAGCTTTATCGAACTAGGCTGAGAAGGGGCAATGTGGCGGTTTTTAAGGACATGGCCATGCAAAGGTCTCTTCGGCTCGAGCGGGGACCCACGGACGGAAATAAAGGTAGATTCCCTCAACACGGTCATCCTCGCTGTCCCGTTTTTCACATCAATTACTGTGTTGGTGGTCGCCATGAAAGGCCGTCCGAGGAGCATGGTGTGCTGATACCCGTTCTCTCTAACGTCCCCCACATCGAGAAAAACAAAATCAAACGGCACTATCAGGTTCCCCACTCTTACCAAGACATCTTCCACTATTCCTTTGGGTTTATAGAGTGAACGATCGGCAAGCGGTAATCGCATCCTTGTGGGCTTCAGACCGCCGAGCCCAAGTTCCGGATATATAGAGAGAGGCATGAGATTTATTCTATCCCCAAGGTCAAGCATCCCCGAAGCATCTTTCCCACTCCCGAAAGCCAAATTGATCACAAAGGTATCGGTGTCTCTTTATTTCTTCGGTAATTCGTACTGAAAGACACTCGCCGCCTCGCATAACACCACCTCATCGGCATTCTCCAATCGCTTCTTACTCTTTGCCAATTCTTTGAAATGTCTCACGTAAGCCGGTATCATTTTGAGCACATCGGAAGGTGGTAGATTGCCATATACCTTTTTCAACATCACGTAAAGGTCCCGCATCAGCTGATTGTCCTTCTCTTCCGAGAGTTGGCCTGGGAAAAGAAGCATTGGCCTGTATGGGTTTGGGGACTTATGCAAAGTTGGCTCGGTAAGCGGTGTCGCTGGGGCATTTTTTGTTTGATCTGACTTCCTCGGGTCTTCTTCTTCTTCTTGTTCCCCCTCGTCTACTTCCTTCTCCTCCAAGTCGGGCATAATAATGGTCACTGAATTCACATGCTCTGATTGACTAGGCAACTTTCCCTTGTTCATTTTAGTCTCGAGGACTCCGACCTGTGTGGCCAGTTGGCCCAACTGTGTCTCAACACGCTTGATGGAGGCCTCTTGATTGACACTTCGCTGCTCACTGTTGGCCATAAATTGGAGGATTTTGGCAATGTCGTCCTGGAGGGTTGAACTCGGCCCTGCTCCCAGTGCTTGCATCTCGGCTTCTGGTCTCCTCTGCTGCTGCTGTGGCTGACAGTTCGGACGGGGCACAAAGTTGGGTCGTGGTTGCTGCTGCATGAAGTTCGGACGGGGTGGCTGAAGGGTGTTCAAGTGGTTTGACCATGAGAAAGTAGGGTGGTTTTGCCATCCAGGATTGTACGTGTTTGAATATGGGTCATTGTCTGGCCGGTTCTGGTATCCTTGTAAAGCACTGGCATCCACATACTGCTCACCGGAGTCCTGCTCGAATGATGAGGGGCATACTTCGAACCTATGCCCTGGGACTCCACATGCCCCACATATGTCGACGACAAAGGTATTAACCAGCTGAGGTCTTCGTGCATTGAGCAATCTTATCTGCTCAGTAAGCTCAACCAACTATTGGGCCATCAAGTCATGGCTTGCTCCGACCTCGTTCACTATCGCTCTTTTCCCTCGGCTGCTCTTCTGCGACGAGTTCGTGCTCATCGTCCCAAAATTTAAAATATCTCATCGGCTGTCTTTGCTCCAATGTTCCCTCTTGCCGCATTGTCAACCATATACTGCATGTTTTGGTGGAGGGAGTTGTAGAAACCGTTCATCAGTAGCCCCAGAGAGAGATTGTGATGAGGGCACTGCCGCTGGAGATCCTTTAACTGCTCCTCAGCCTCGTGAAGAGGCTCACTAGGTAATTGAGCAAATGAAACAATATGTGACCGAAGCTCCTGAGTCTTCTGATGGGAGTAGTACCTCCCAATGAACTTCGAGTACACCTCAGTTCAGGTAGTGAGAGAGCCAGGTGCAAGCGTCATGAACCAGACCTTGGCCCGGTCTTTCAGTGTTTCGGGAAAGCACCTCATCTTCAACTGCTCGTCATTCAGCCCGTTGAGAGGGAAAGTCTGAAGGACATTGTAAAATTCTTAGATTAAGTTGAGTGGGTCCTCGCTTGGAAGCCCGTGGAATGCCGACAGCTGGTTGTAATGAATCATTTTGAGCTCATAATTCCGTGCAACATCCGACAAACGAATGCATGAACTGACTGGCCCGATAACCGGTTGGGCTAATTTTTGTAGGGTGTTACGAGGAGCTTGTTATTGTTGTTCACCCATGTCGAAGTTGCTGCCTTCGGATGATTTCAGAGTATGTTCGTCTCATTCGTGTGATTCGAGAGTAAGCGCTTCCAGTAGCTCTCTCAGGCTCTCGTTGAACGGTTTGTCGATAGGAGATAGTATACGTCCACTCCTGGTACGCATACACAAAGACAAAAGAAACTGTCACGAGCACCAGATAGACAAATAAGAAAATCTAACGAAAAACAAAGAACCAAAAATCAAGAACTAATAAACTAAGCAAAATAAAACGACGAGAAACACTAAAAAATGAATAGGCGCACAATTAAAGTCCTAAACCATCCCCGGCAATGGCGCCAATTTTGTTGTCAGTATTTATACCGGAGTAGAATCGAAAATTTTTTTGTTTCCCGGGTCGTATCGCAAGGAAGGTTAGCCGGATTCAATTATACGATTATTCAATCACGAAAAAGAGAAAACAAAAGTCCTAAACACTCTAATTCAATATTTTTCAGGTTTCAATTATCAACTAAGGATTTAAAACTAATGAAAAGCAATTTAAATAGCAAGACGAATTGACTCAATGATTAAAGAACTAGGGAATCGGGGATAATTGCTTTCGATTCTAACACAACTACCGGCAATCAATTGCTCGGTTAAAGGACTTGAATTGTTTCTCGTCCAGAGGCTCACTCTCAATAACTCTTCGTAACAAGAGAGTGAACGTACACGATCAACTATCAATTCCAACAACACATAGACAATACGTCTCCAAACAAGTCTATCCTAAACGCGCCTAAATTGACCAACATCTTCCCTCTTGGTTCTACACGTTGATTAGCTAGGTTAGAAAGGTGATCAATCTACTAACCCTAGAATAAACACAACTCGAATAACAATCAAGAACAAGCAATCATTATCGAACCTAATCAATCATCCCCTATCCCTAGCGAATGGATTTAGCTACTCATGGAGAATTCAATATCACAATTCATATTAACCCAAGCCATCATCATCAACATGCAATTGAGAAAAGAGGAACTTACGATTAATGTAAATAATCTAATGTTGAATCCACAAGCATCCAATCTAAAGCAAGAAATAGGAGTTTTCAAATCTCCAATTCGAATCAAAAGAGAAAAAGCATGAAAAGTAATGAGTTTCTAGAGAGAAAAAGCGTAAAAACAAAGTCTGGAAGTGAATAATCTCATCCTGTTGGTGGTACAGACCGAACGGATGGCAGTAAGAAAAAGAAAGGGAACCGGATGGCTTCGGGATCGGGCCGCTGCCGAACGGATGAGAGAGAATAAGTGAGATCTGTTTAATCATTACAAGAGTTAGTCGTACTGCGCATTAAATGCGGAGATACATGAAAATCTCTTATCCAACGGCTAAGGAAAAATAGGGACGCGTGGCATGATCCGGACGACTCTCAGATATTGGGAAAAGATTATCAAGTACAATTAGCATTAAATGCTGAATGACTAGTATCTAAAAATATCCTGAAAAAAGAAATGTAAAAATCCCCAAGAGGGAAATGTACAGTCCCAAAACTTTCTATAAAAGGGAGGGGAGGACATCATTTAATGCAATGAGTAAATGCTGTCATTAATTATTCAGTAAGTCACGGATAGACTGAGCATACGGACCAGTATAATTAAACCGAATCACATACACAAATACTATTCGTGCAGACAAAACAAAGTACACATCTTAGCGTACAGTTCGAACACATTGTTGGTCATTTTTAGACATCAACAATAGGCGCTAGAGGAAGGGCTATTCCAGCATGTCCAAGACAACTTCATCATCATCAAGCCAGAGTCGCCGGCGAGACTCACCGGAAGAAAGGGAAGACCGGCGAAACAACCCAACCACGAGGACGGACTATTCAGCCTTTTTTAAAGACCCAAACTTTGTTAAGGGAATATCAAACCTGATAACACAGATCCGGCCCTCTACGTCTCAAACACCCAAAACCCCAACCCAAAAAGACCTTACCAACACCCTCAGAGGCAAGGAAACGAACGTTCGCGAAGAAACCACCCGGTCGCCCGGCAGCATGAAGGAAAAATCCACCACCCGGACGGAAAATGAACAGACGGACGAAAGTCGCTCAGTCACGGACACTCGAACCCGAAACACCACCCGGTCGGTTTTCAAACGGCTGGGAAAAAACGTGGCCGACGACGACTTGAGGAGAACATTCACCAGAAGGCGAACGACTCAAGCCGAAGAAGACGAAATGAAGAGCCTCCGAAGAAGAATAGCCGAACTCGAAACTCGACGTCCGGCCAAAAAACGACTAGTTTCCACCGGACAAGATCTAACGGAAGTCCCTCTCAAAAGAGCCACGACAACCTCAAGGGCACGAACGGAATCCAGCCCAGCCGAACCCGAATCACCCCTAACATTTGATATTTTGCAGGAACAGCTGCCCGGGAAGATCAAGATCCCGCAGATCGGATTTTATGACGGAACATCTGACCCGGACACCCACCTAGGATTATACACGTCATGGATGGACCTGCACGGAGCACCGGACGCCCTCCGCTGCCGGATGTTCTCATTAACTCTGGGAGAAAAAGCACAAAGATGGTACCAATCGCTCGCCCCGCATTCGGTCGCTAGGTGGTCACAATTAAAGTCCATGTTCCAAACCCACTTCATCGGATCCCAGGCGTGCCGAATTCCCAAAGAATCGACCACTCACATTATCCAGGGAGCAGACGAGAGTTTGAAGGATTACATCACTCGTTTCAACGAACGGGTACAAAACATGGAACCGTGCCATCAAGAGACCCTGCTGGTTTCGGCATATTCAGGACTGAGACCAAACTCGATGTTCAAATGGACCCTCTGCCAAAAAAAACCTCAGACGTATCACGAATTCTTGATGAAAGCTCAACAACATATCATGGCAGAAGAAAACATGTCCGTCCCGTCATTCCCAGCCCTGAACGAGCAAACCACCAAAGCAAAGGAATCCCGACCGAACAAGGAGTTTGCGAAGGACGGAAGAAGCTCCCAATTCCGAGCCATGCAGAGGAAACATCATGAGGAACTCACGAACAGCTACCAGGGGGTGTATTCGGCCGGTGCGGCCGTAGTGTATGAAGAGTTGAAAAACAAGGGGATCATCCCAGACCCCAAACCGATCAGGGCCGATGAAGAGAATTTAGACAAAAGCCGATATTGTGCTTACTACAAATCGCATGGCCACAATACTGACCAATGTCGGAACTTAATATCTGCTTTGTTGAAACTAATTGATGATCCGCAGGTAAGGAGATTCACTAGGATGGATGCAGGCAACCGGAGGCCAAGAAACGATGAACGAATGAACCCAGGAGACGAGCCCGATTTCGGACTGAATCCCCGGAGAGCGAACGAACATCCCAACGAAATCTTGACGATCAGTCAGGAGCAACGAGGCGAGACGAGCGCATCCGCGGGAAGGAAAAGGACAGCGTCCAGATGAGACGAGGAGCATTCGGTTCACATCCCAATCCGAAGAAGCGGACCGCCCACAAGGGTCAATATGAGCCGGGAAAGTTCGAGCGTGTCAAGAAGACAGGTCAAGGCATACGTCCGAAAAGCATACAGCACAGGACACCAAGTCAGCCGAGCGGAGGTCAACCGACACATCCCCATGCCCACAAATCTAATAATGTTTTCAGATGAAGATTCTCTCCCGTTTGGTAATCCACACTCAGATGCGCTCGTAATCACAACCCCCATTTTCCGAATCCCAATCCACCGAATCATGGTGGACACGGGGGCGTATTCAAGTATCTTATACTGGACCGCATTCCTTAAAATGGGGATAGACCAAAGCGAACTGCGCCCATGCAACGACCGTATAACTGGATTCAACGGACAGACAACCATTCCTGAAGGAGAAATCACATTACCGATCGAGCTCGAGGGATCAGGAGCAAACAGACGCAGGATCATGGAGACTTTCAAAGTGGTGAAAACGGCCAGCGAGTATAACGCCATCCTCGGGTGGACGACCTTATACAAGCTGAAGGCGGCCGTATCAATCTTCCACTATTCAATCAAATTCCCAACTGAGAACGGCACGGGAGTCCACTACGGCAACCAAAGGGAAGCAAGGGAGTGCATCATGGAGATCCCGTCATTAGAAATACACTCGGTCATGATGGCAAACGAGGAGGGGAAACTGATCGTCGAACCAGTTGTAGAGCCCGAACAGTCAGACAAGCAGGAAGTTTCGTCCGAACGGCCGGACAACAGTGCGGCCAAAGGATACACGAACAAACGAAAGAGGATGAGGGAAAAACCGATCGAGGGCCCAGAAGAGGAAGACGAATACCCTATGCTGACGTGATCAAATGCAAACACACGTTCACCCCCGAGAGACGGACAGGGCGAAAAGGCTGTGAAAGAATCGTAGGTCGATCAATCCGACACAAAAGGAGAACAAAACCAGAAGTCCACCCAAGAAGAGAACAATCTGTGCGATGAGGAGGATCGAACGGTAGACTGGGGACGCCGACCAGGGAAGGAACCAATCGAAGAAAAAGACGAATTGGACCCCCGAGACCAATTCAAAGGGAAGAAATCCGAACGGGCCGAACCAAGCAAAGACACGGAGACGATCTATCTTGATGAACCAGCCTGAACCAAGTCATTACGCATCGGACGCAACATGGGCGAACCCATCCGGTCCAGGTTAATTACTTTTTTAATCGAAAATGCAGATGTCTTCGCCTGGACGCATGAGGATATGGTGGGGATCGATCCAAACTTGGCATGCCATAGCCTTCGGGTTGACCGAACGGTAAAGCCAATCGTGCAGAAAAGGAGGAAGTTGGGACCAGAACGACAAGGAGCGCTCGAGGGGGAAGTAATAAAGCTGATTGACAACAGGTTCGTTCGCGAAGCCAAGTACCCGGTTTGGGTATCCAATCCGGTCCTGGTAAAGAAGAACAATGGGACGTGGCGACTATGCGTCGACTTCAGCGATCTCAATCGGGCCTGCCCCAAAGACAGTTATCCGTTTCCCAGCATCGATTACATGGTAGACGCGACGTCCGGACACAAACTCATGAGCTTCATGGACGCCTATTTGGGATATCACCAGATCCCGATGGACCCGAACGATGAGGAGCACACATCTTTCTATTCTGCCAGAGGACTCTATTGCTACACCATGATGCCGTTCGGTCTCAAGAATGTCGGGGCAACCTACCAGAGGCTCGTGAATAAGATGTTTGCAGATCAAATCGGACGAACTATAGAAGTTTACGTGGACGATATGCTTGTTAAATCTGTTTTTGCGAACGATCATGTGTCACATCTTAATGAAATGTTTTCTATTTTGCGTGATTACTCCATGGTGTTAAATCCCAAAAAATGTACATTTGGGGTAGGTTCGGGTAAGTTTTAAGGATACATAGTTAGTCAAAGGGGAATCGAAGCGAACCCCGACAAGATTAAAGCAATACTCGAACTAAAACCCCCTAGGTCGATAAGAGAAACGCAAAGTCTAACGGGTAGATTAGCAGCTTTAAGTCGATTCGTATCAAAGTCCACGGACAAATGTAAGCCCTTCTTCGAGGCTATTAAAAAGAATAAAAAATTTGAATGGACGGACGAATGCCAACACGCGCTGGACAACATCAAGGAGTCGCTCGTTCGGCCCCCGGTCCTCCAAAAGCCAAACCCTGGAGAGATGTTGTATCTATACCTCAGAGTTACCCCGACCGCGATAAGCGCCGTACTCGTTCGGGAGGAGAATCTGAATCAACATCTAATCTATTACACAAGCAAGGCATTACATGAAGCTGAGGTCCGTTACCCACAGATAGAGAAGTTAATCTTCGCCCTAGTGACGACGTCGAGGAAACTCAGGCCGTATTTCCTTGAACACCGGGTGACCGTCTTGTCAGCCTATCCTATTCGACAAATTCTCCACAAGCCTGATACGTCGGGATGAATGATCAAGTGGGCCGTAGAGCTTGGGCAGTTCGATCTCCAATATAAACCACGAACGGCGATAAAGGGACAAGCACTGTCCGACTTCATAGCCGAGTTCAAAACGGGAGCCAAACCAGTCCAAACTACAGAGACTTGGGAGATGTATATAGACGGATCGGCCACAACCGAAGGGTCTGGGGGAGGAGTCGTGATCGTCAGCCCCCAAAGAAAACTATATTGTCATTCGGTCCGGTACCTGTTTGCCGCGACTAATAACGAGTCAGAATACGAGGCACTATTATCCGGCCTGGACTTGGCCCACTCGATGAACATCACGAATTTAAAAGCATACTCAGACTCAATGTTGTTAGTAAAGCAAATCTCAGGGGAGTTCGAGACGAAGGAAGCCCGCCTGGTGCCATATTTACACCTAGCTCGAAAGAAGATAGCGCGAGCGAACATTCAGCTCGTGCACGTCCCCCGGTCAGAGAATGCCCAGGCGGACGCGCTCGCACGGTTGGCATCCAGTAGAGGAACTGACGAAATCGAGTACGTTTACACTCGCCATCAGGAAAGGCCGACCGTTCAGGTCGAGCAAATCATGAGGATTGAAGAATCGGTCGGTGCCACAACATCCGGATGGATGGATCCGATCCGGTCGTATTTGGAGAAGGGAGAACTTCCCGCAGACCTCAAGGGTGCTCGGTCATTAAGGATCCGAGCAGCAAGATACACGATCATGGCAGGAACGTTATACAAGAGGGGCTATTTGAATCCATTGCTCAAATGTGTGGACGACGAAAAAGCCGAACGAGTCATGAGAGAAGTCCACGAGGGCGTATGCGGGAACCATTCGGGGGGACGAGCGTTGGCGCACAAAATACTACGACAGGGGTATTACTGGCCCACGATGAAAAGGGACACGTTTAACCTAGTCAGAAGGTGTGTTAAGTGCCAAACGTTCGCCCCTAACTTAAAGCAGCCGGCTCATCCGCTTACCTCAGTTTTCAGCCCCTGGCCGTTCGCCAAGTGGGGAATCGACTTAATCGGACTCTTACCTACGGGCAGGGGAGGAGTCAGATACGCGGTCGTAGCGGTCGATTACTTTACTAAATGGGCGGAGGCCGAGCCTTTGGCCACGATAACCGAGCAGAAGATGATCGACTTTTTGTGGAAATCAATCGTTTGCCGATTTGGTATTCCCCATTCTGTGGTAACTGATAACGGACGACAGTTTGAGGGAAAGAAATTCGGCACGTTTTGTGAAGAGTTGGGGATTCGACATCATTTCTCTACCCCTTACCACCCGCAGTCAAACGGGCAAGTAGAGGCAGTCAACAAAATTATTAAACAAGGTTTGAAGGTACGATTGGAAAGCTCGAAAGGGGCCTGTTTGCTAATTATTTTTGCTATCCGCAAGTGTACGGCGTAGCTATAGGTAGTGGCGAGCAAGGTCGTATTCCACAGAGATTGTAGTTAAATTAATTAAGTACTAAAATACTAACGGTTAAATATTATCTAGACTAGTGAATTGGATGATGATTATGAACTAAGAAATTAAACTAAGAACTAATTTATCTAAAGAAATAAAAATAAAATAAGATGCAGAAGATAGATTCTAGGTTATGCTTTCCTCGGAATTAATTCATGAAACGTTTATATTCATATAAACCTTATTTAATTTTACCAATCGTAGAGATAATCACTAAATTGATTTCAACTTTTCTCTCGAACAAGCAAACCGTAGATATTAATTGTTACCTATCTCCTCTCGGTCTCAAGATGAACAACTAACTCCCATAAGTTCCTAGGATTTTCGTTCTCTCGCAAGGTCCTATCAACCTCTCGGTATGTTTATTCTCTTACGTTATAAATCTCTCAATTCTAGCAATCAATTATCTCCTCTCGGTCTCAAATCAATTACAAATATGCATTCATAGCGGCCGTCTACTCACACAATAATAATAAGCTCAAGAAATTTATAAACGAAAGATAAACCGGAATGAAATAAATAAAAACTAAATCATAAATCAATCCGAGTACTAACAAATCCTAGAATCCAAAATAAATTAGCCTAGAAACATGCTTTCAAAATAAGAAAAATAAATATAAAAGATTGAGTTCGAAAGAGGAAAAGAAAAGAAAAGAAAAAGCTTATTCGGCTCCGTCGATTCCTTCTTCCCCGGCTTTCTCCCTCGTCTTGCTCGTGTTTCTAGCCTCCAAAGCTCTCCAAAGATCTGAAAATTAGGTCCTCCACCCCCCCAAAAACGTGTCCAAGTGTTATATATATAGTTGAGGCCGAGTCCTAGTTGAAATAGGTCGAAAATACCAAAAAAATAGGAAAAAACACGTAAAACGCGTATTGGTCGCGCCCAGGGTCACACGACTCGTGTCACTTTACACACGAGTCGTGTGAAAAAGTCGAGAGCTATATTTACGACACGATGGAACGACACGAGTCGTGTTCGGATGTCACACGGCTCGTGTGAACCTGGGAGGGTTAAACTCCATTTTCTGCGCATATTTCATCTCCTGGTTGTATTTCCGGCGTCTAAGTCGATTCTCGGTGGTCTGAAGTTTCGCAGGTAGCGTGACATGGCTTCTTCCGGCCATTTCCCGACAACTCCCGCCGGCACACATAGATTGGCGAGAAAATCTGACAACGGGATTAGCGTCCAAGCTGCTTCTCCGGTGACGGTCTGATGGTGATGTGGTGCTCCGGTGACGTGTGGCGGCGCGGTGGTGTGGTGACAAGCTTGGTCGAGCAGCTCCTAGTTCAAGCATGGCGGACGTGAAGCTGTTACGTGAGTGAAAAAGATGGTTTCTCTCTCCTTCAATATTTTAGTTTCAAATGACAACTTTGCCCCTAACTTATTTGTCTCTTGGGCCAGCTCAAGTCACTAAATAATTTACACATGGGTTGATTGTATGTGGCCCAATATTCCTTGGTTTAATGGCCTGCCTTTGGACTATGTAATTGGACATCTTGCTTCTTCAAATCTTTGACCATTTCCGCCTCTTATAATTATTCCGACCCAATTTTCTGTCAAAACTCAAATAAAACACTTTATCATAGATTAATAAATATAATTAATTAATTAATTAATAATAAATTAAATATAATTAATTATATATCAAACTACG